AATTAAATGTGTATTCAAAATATGCAATTTGCATCAATATCCTAGACTAAATATTATCAACTAAGTATGCCTTATGTATGAAACTAAATATGCATTTCGTATTAGCTAAACATGCACAAGATATAAACTAAATATGCACTAATTAAATAAAAATAAAGGCAAGGTCTAGAGTAAAGTTATTCAAACTTTAATTAATTATAGATTGACGTCAAGGATCAAATTACAATAACCCAAATTTTTTAAAATTGCAACTAAAACCCTAGAATTTATTTCATTTACAAAAAAATAGCGCTAGCCCCCAATCCCAAAATCAATCGTCCAAAATCTAAAAAATTCTTCCTGTTAGATCGTAGTCGTCTTCTCCAGCATATTCACTAGGACCACAATCCCCAAACTCAAATAATAACCCACCGCCAGTGAGGGCGACGATGGAGATGTCGCCAGAGACCGCACCCTGTCTGGCACCTCTGAGAAGAATAACTCCACGAGGCCAGCCAAGCTCAAAAAATCGATCCCATCAAAGGCGATGGCTTCGTGGTAACCGACCAATTCAGACCACAAACATCAACCCTCACCGCCCTGGTCGAATCTCAACCCCGATCCGACCTGAGGTTTTGGCTCCATGAACTTCGTCGACATACTCAGATCTGGTTCGATTTCCAGCCCGTCACACTCGATGGCGACAACGGTGGACTAGGGGGTGGTATCTTGAAGCAGGCAGTCACCCAGTTCTGGAGGGATATGGTCAGTGGCGGCTCCATCGCCGAGGTCTGGATGATGAGGACGTTAAGGTTCCGGTGGACGAGGAGGATGACGTATGTTGTCGGCCGCCGGCCGACGGTGATATTAAATTTATTAATTTATTTAAAATATTTTTAATTTAATTATAATAATTAATTAATATTTTTATTATATAACTAATGTATATTCTAATTGATTAATATGAGCCGTTAATGTACGCAAATCAATGGCTATGATTGAGTCTCATGTACCCATTTAAAAAATATTAATTGTTACATTGAAATCAATTATATAATAAATAAATAAACTTAATGTCATTGTCCTCTGCAGACCGGTCGGCCGCAACTGTTGACCAGGACTGATCGGTGGTTGACAGTCGTTGGCCGGATAGAGCTGTAACCGCCGCGGCCAGAACCCCCACCCATGACGACTGGAGCTATTGCTACTTCAATCAGATGGAGCTACTGATACTGGCTGACGTAGTCCTCCTCTGCTGCTAAGCCTATATGGCGGCGTAGGATCTGGCTGCCCGAGGCAGGCGAGGCCTTCCTATGATCGATGAAAAATAATTGTACTTCAATCAGTCGTTTTTGTCCTTGTAGACGCGGTCAGCGCTTTCTTTTCCCAAAATCGAACCTCTGATCCACGAAGTTCCACCTCTGTAGTTATTAGGGCCTTTCTCTGAATCTGAATCGCCGAAATTTTCCATCCTCGTTTGGTTTCACTAGTAACATCAACGATCTCGGATGCAGGAGATGGCGGAGACGAAAATGAAGGTGAGTCGCGGCTGTCATAAAATGGTCGAGCTCGAGAAATCAAATTTGGTGCGGTAAATTGTACACGTTTTACAGCACATTTAGTTTATACAAAATGCACATTAAGTTCATATGAAGATCGCATTTAATTCATAAATAATGAATAATTGTTGATATTATTGTTACACTTTTTTTTTCATTAAAATACATAATCATATCATACCAGAAACATATTTAGTTCATATCAAAAGCATATTTGAAGTGCAACTTTACTTCATACACAGTGTATATATGTTTCACAGAAAAAAAAATGCATATTTAGCATACATATTTTGTTCATATCAAGAGCATGTTTAACATACATATTTAGTTCAAACTGGTCAATTTATATAATTAATTTGATNCAAAAGAAAACCAACCAATAGCTGAAAGATACAACCAAAGGCTAAAAAGACTGGGAGTTAAGATCCGACGATCGCCTAGAGCCTAATCTAGCAACGCTAGAACAACACACTCACAACACCACAAATACAAAAAACTACTAACTCCCAAACAGGAGAATAAACGATCCTAAAAGGATAATACCCGCTCTCACTCGGGCGTAAACAGAGGCCAAAGGCCCAAACCAAAAACACAAATTCTACCAACCAAAGCAAAAGACAAAACAAGGCAAAACAACAATAAGCAACAATCGAGACCTTCCAAAGCAGCATGATCGAGCTGAATTAGCAGACGCCAAGTCAACCCGAAGAGAAACCCTTAGCCCAAGAAGACCGGTCCCGAAACTGCCCAAAAACCGCCAAAAGGTTGCCTAACAAAGCCAAATCCCAAGCATTGGAACTCACCCCACCACCGGAAAACACCAAAATTGCCCGCCAAACCGCCAGTGAACTGAACCGGCTAACACCACAAGCGAAGTTCAGCAGCGCCC